TGTATTAAATAGGGGAACTTGTCGGCAAATAAAACGGTTTCGCAGACCAAACGGACGTCATATCTTTCTTAGTTTATTTGATTGAGCCTCATCCTCAAGTCTTGTGTTTATCCCTCGAGATAGATACAGGATTTGAGGTTGAGTGCTCTTTCATTTAAACTATGGAAAATATGAGGTCAGTTTGATTTCATATTTTTCTAAAATTATATATATATACGTAAATTAAAAAGTCCTTCTGAAGCGGGCGACGGAATTTCGATTCCAGCTGCCGACAGCTTCTTACGGGCGACCCCCAAACATAACTTTCTCCTTTTAAGTGCCGACACTTCTTCATGTTTCGGCGGCCCAACCGCCTCCATCAAAAATCTTTAATCCAACCCTAATCAAAGCCCTGACAAGGGGGTTTCGTGGTGGTGGATGTTTTCCTCCTCATGTTCTTCACATTCCTCATGTTCGACCTCTTTTCCTTTTGATCTTGCCATGGATTCTCCAGTCAATCTTTGGCTACGGTTTGCCTACGGCTTGCAAATTAAGTTGTCGGCGGGGTCTTGGATTGCATCTCAATGAGACTCTTCAGCATCTCTCAAATTTCCCCCATGCTCTCGAATCGGTTCTCCAGTCAGTTCTCCATAAAAGAGAATCTCTCCTCTATGGTGGCGAACATTTCTTCCATCCCATATTTGGTATGATTCATCTCATCCTCTAATTTCTTCTCTAAATCATCCACTTTCTTTGATGCAATCTTTTCCAAAAAAAATTTCAATCTCAAATACAATTTATATAACCTAAAATCTCATTATCTCTTCTCATCTAGCTCTTATCACAATTGTACATCATATCAATGTTTCCGGATCTGGTCAATCCTGTCCTCGCTTCCTAGTAGCACCCACCGCGACTGTACACGCACAGATCGGCGTGATCCCAAAATATGGGAGCTTCGGGTTTCTGTTCGTCGTGATCCCCTTGGTCCATAAGATGAAAACTTCCGGTCTTTGTTTGTCTTGATCCCTCGCATTGGGTGTAACCCTCAAAATCGCGACTGTATCGACGAGGTTCAATCACTATAGTCATGATCCATCTGTTTGCTTCCAGTGATCGCGACTATATCACAGGAATGGTCACATAAACCTGCTACAATATTTGAATGTATGCTCAATCCTAATGCCGCTAGCTCCAAATCACAATTGTATCACCAAGAAGGTGGTGCGATCTTGCGACTGTGCTGACCCCGTCACTAGGTTCACAATATATCGGGATCTCGTGCATTTTTTTCCATCTGGATAAAGGCGCGGCAATACGTTTCCGTAGTTGAAGACTCGACATTCAGCAATCCAATGGTTTCTTCAAAGAATCTTGATGATACCGATTTGATTTGATCCCAACTCAAAATTAGCATGTTTTCCACAAAAATTAGGGCAAACACAAAATTTCTTCAATAAATCAAACAACTAAATAAGAATACAAAAGATAAGCACCTACAATTTGAGAGGTAGGCGATCTCTCCCACTCCCAATTCCTACAATTCTCCCAATTCCTACAATTCGAGAGGTAGGAAATCTATTCCAAACCCTAAACCTAAGACTCACAATCAAATCTCATACATAAAACTGACCCTAGACATAACAACTCTATTTAAACCCAACAATAATAATAATAATAAAAGACTAAATGGCCCTTAAGTGTGCAAAAGACAAATTTGTTTTTAGGCTAAGCGCCAACGTAATAGAAATGCTCTCGATGGGCTTGACCTTCATCTACATCAACGACCAAGCAATTTTGGTGAATTCAACTGAACATCCACCAAATGATGAGTCATTTGACCTACATTTACATTATAATGTACTAGCAAACATGTTCACTTTTACATTTCATTTCATTATTTGTCCACTTCATTTTCTGACTTGTCTTGTCTCTATTAACTGAATGTATTGATAAATGTGCTACAAAATCCTTTATAGAAGCATGCTATGGGGCATTAAAATGGATGCAGTTTCGATCACCAAGCCTGAGATTTGGTTGTTCCTCCTCCCAGGTCAAACCAATTTTCTCTTGATGGGTCCACTATCAAGTTTCAGCCTAATGAATTAATCAACCACTACAGATCATGATTTCTCGATAAAAAGTTCACCAATAATTTTGATACCTTTTCAGTAGTTGCGCAATTAAACTCCAACTTCTTTAGCTTGTAGCCATCAAGTAAGGTTGGGATATGCTACAAATGGATGTTAAGTAATGCCTTCTTCATGATGACCTATAAGAGGCAATTATATGGGCCTATGACAATGTTCTAAGGTTCCTAAAAGATGTTTAGGAAGTGGATTTAACGAAGAAGTGCTTATAGACTATCAAGAGAATGATAATATATGAGGGCGGCGGCAATGGGAAGGGGACAGAAGACTTTTAGCTGCTATACAAGCTGAAAACGGAAAGGGAGCCACAAAACGGTGTGGTACGGACAGTGAGAAGGTTCGCCACCTATTCTTAAATAAATTATAGACTCACCACTTGCAAAATAAGAAGTGTGCAACACTCTTTTTGATAAAACCAGATACTACAGTCTCCAAATAACACAAAACAACTAAATACAATATAAAAACATTTTTTAATAGAAAAAAACCCTAATTAGAAATAAAGAAATAGGAAATAAGCTAGAAAAGATAAAAAATCTCACCAAACTTAACAGCAGGGCAGCATCCAAGTGATTCGTAGTCCTGAGATCACATGATCCCGCTTAGGACTGTAGCAGGATTGTAGGACCCACGATATCCCACGATTCCGTAGAATTCTGTGGAACCGAACAGCTCCCATGTTAGGCCACCAATTGGGAAGATTTCTTGTAGGGAGAACCACATGTCTTTGAACGAAGATTATTTATAGCCTTAAATAAATCCCACAAGCCTAATTTGACAAATTTTATGTAGTCCAGGCAAAGTTTGTCTTTGGCAATAGCACTACATATCAATTTTCTTGATCAAGCATATACTCTTGCAAGCTTCATGAAACTAGTTGTTAACAAACCTACAAATCATTTATCTTGATTAAACATATACTTCTACAAGCTTCATGATACTAATTGTTTATTGTGACGATATCTTGCTCACGAAAAGTCACCATAACGACATATTTGAGATAAAACACTACCAAAGTAGGTGTTTTCACCAAAGAAATGTGACGGTCTACGTGCTTTCCTAAAATCAAATTTACTTATAGTAAAAATGATGTATCATCATCTCAAGCAAACATTCTACCAATCTTCCTTAAAATAATTGGCCTTCTTAGTTGAAAGCATGTTGATACCCTTAGGGTTATTTAAACTACATGATATGATGAAAAAACTCCTGATGATCTATCCTAAAATTGAAAGCTAACTGGTGAGATGATTTATTTGATTGTTAGTAGGCTTGTGGTGTGGCGAGTCAACACATGAAAAATTCAAAAAGAAGCATTAAAAAGTTAATCTATAAATTCTTAGATGCATTAAACAATCTTCAAGAAAAATGTTGTCATCTATTAAGATTGGGTGCCGAAATATTACAGCATTTTTATGTCAACTACGTCAGCTCAAATGAATACAGAAATCAACCATAGAATAGTACATCTTTGTCATGGATAATCTAGTCACCTAAAAAGCAAAAATAGACTACAATTGTAAAATCCAATGTTAAATTTGAAAAGAGGGCTACAACTTCTACGTGTAAAATGATGTGGATGAAGAGTTTGCCTTTATCAACATTCAACGAATGATACTATATTGCTACAAACAAACCGCCATCTATATTGCTAGCAATACTATTTTTCATAAACAAGCTAAATATATTGAAGTAAATTTTCATTTTATAATGGAAATAATATTTTTCAACAAATTTTGCATTTGCTTTTTATCATTTATGTAATATGATGGAGCTAACATATAAATATGTTAAAACTTCAAGGGGCCTGTGTATATATTAAGTAGCTCCCTTATTATTAATAAGTGATTATATTAAGAAGATGTAATTTAATATCCTCTCAATTGGGGGTATTTTTCTAAATTATTTGTTGATATCTTCATAATTGGGGGTTTTATTCTATTTTTTTCATTTATTTGTATCCTATTATATGTCTATTTATAGGCCCAACATTTTCAAGCAATAACACAAAAAATTCCTTTTCTCGAAACATCACCACTAACTATTTCAAGCTGTTGCTACGAGCATGACAAATTTGATTGACTTCACAACAGCAGTGTAACAATGTCACTCCAACAAATCAGAAGGGTTTGCACTCAAATTTGCTCATAGATAAGTTTATCATCTAGGCTAGGTGGCTCTTTCCTATGGAACTTTCATGTGAAAATCTTTTTCTCTTTACCATATGTGTGTTTGAAACCCTACAGCTAAGAAAAGCATTTACGTAGAAACTTCTCTGGCAAATAACAAGATGATGTGCTAAAACACACCAAGAATACCAGTAAAAACAGACATGAATACTTTCTTTGAAAATTATCTTTCATGCATTTGAGATTGAATAATTTCCCACTATAATCGGTGTTCTATGTGTTTAAAGTCTCATTTGTGATTCTTTTTTTTCCATTGCGAAGTTTAAAGTTGGTGCAAGGCAGGTGTCTCTTATTTGGAAAAAAACTTGTCAAGTTTCCTTAAAAGAAATTTCAGCTTTTAGAATAGGGATTTGCTTCTCAACCTATTTTAAGAAAATATGAAACCCAAATAGAAGAGACTCTAGTAAGCAAGCAGCTTTTCTATCATAAATGAAAGGTTTCATTTGGGAAAAGTAAATTATTTTTTTATGAGGTCAGATTTGAACCTCTAACCTCCTCTTTGTCTGCAATACCACTCAACCAAAGTGGCAGAGCCTAGTGGTAAATAAAGTTTCTTCACTAGACATTTTAGATATATAGCATGATAACTAGAAAACTTTGAGCTTTTCTAAGTTCTACAAATAAATTAAGAAGAGAAAAATAATTTGAGGGTGTCCACAACTCCAAAAATTCATCGAAGAAGAAGATTGAGAAAATTCATAGCTCAATTTATCCATTTTCTATGCCCTAATGCTACCTAAAGAGAAGAAGAGAAGTATTTACAGGATTACAAGACTTATAACTCATTAAACACCAAATAACTATCTAACAAACACTAACAACTTATAAACTACTACGACCACAATGACCTACTAACTCACTCCTAAGCTACAAATTACACAGATTACCTTGACAGTATTTTAACAAAATTTTTTTCTTAGAATCTTAACAAAGTTTTGAAAAAAAAAAAAGAACAAAAAAGCAACTTCAGACAAATTCTTGTGATGGAAACAGTCTGCAAACAATCAATAGACAACTTCCACATAAGAACAAAAAAAACTCATAATTACCTCCAATCATCATTCATAAAGATACAAAAGGAATTAAGCTAATCAAAAACTGAGGATACTGAAACTAAAGACAGAATATTCATCCCGCTAAAATCCATTTCTCCATTAATTCTGCAAACAGTAGAATCTGCCACTTATTCAAAAAGATGATTGGAAAGAAAAGAAAAACAACAAAATATTCGAGATTCGGCCTAATCCAGAAATCCAGAAATGGCAAAAAAGAACAGTCCAACAAAACCAGAATCCACGTTGAACGTATTCCGTGGCTAATCCCTGCTACATTTCAGTAGATCTAACAAAATTTATCGCAGGAAATCAAAACATAAAGATTTGCACTTCACAATAAGAATTATTCGAAGAAGAAGAAGGAGAAGGAGAAGAAGAAAAGTGGGCTTCCGGCAGCCTTCGAAGCTTACTACCGGAAAAAAGGGGATATTTTTTTGTGTGCTTCTCTCTGCAGAGTTTTCTTCTGCTCTCTCTCGCTCCGAGAGACTGTGGAAAGGGACGCGAGCGTGAAAAGCGGAAGCAAGGCAGATTGCAACTTGAGGCCAAAATGAGATACTGCTCTCATTTATATACCATTTCGTTTTGTTTCAGAGTAGTTGTAAACGAGTCCAACTCCTTCAGTCCTCTACTTGAGTTTAAGCTTAGATTAATTTTATGAGCTCAAGTTCATGGATTCAAGTCCGAGCTCAAATTTACGAGTTCAAGTCGACTCTCAAGCTAGTTTGTTTAACACATTATTTATACAATCTGAGTTAAATCAAGCCCTAATCAAATAATTAAACCATATTTTGAAAGTTTTCCTGATATATTTGGAAGGTCAAATAGATGTCAAATCTCGCGACTTTATTGTTGAATCCAACATCTCAAAAAGACAAATCCAATGAGCCCAAGATCGCTGAATTCTGACATCATTAAGACATTCAAATATTCATCAAACACTATCTGATTGATGGAAGCCCTCTGAGTCATCCGACCAAAGTGTTTTATATTTCTGCTTTAATCGCATCTAAAACTTAATAAATAACGTCATATCTCTCTCATGAGGGGCGAGAATAGCTTGAGACTTGAAAGGAGCTTAAAGCTTTTGAAAAGGAAATGAAGTCCAACATACCGTCAACCATCGTTGACCACCGCAGACCACCAACGACCACCACCTCTCGGCCGCCTTCGATCGCTATCAGCCACATTCCGATCCTTGCAACAAGTTCATCGACACGTCGACGTTGTAATTCAGAAAACTTTCTAATTTTTTCCCACCTATGGGACAAGAGCTCTCCGTAATCATCAAATATATAATGTAATTTTATAACTGTGTTAGACCTTGTGATTTTTTTCATTATGAGTTTTCTACGAAAAAACTCCAGGTATCAGTGTAGATTCATACAAAGCGCAGACATAAAATATCACTCTAATATCGCAAATTTTCTAACACGCATCAGCCTATAAAATCTTCTTTATATCTCTACGCATTATTATTTTATGGCTTGTGGCCGTGTGATGTAAATAGAATAATAAAATAAGAAAAAAAAAATTATATCGCCGCCGGATGTCACTCATTTTCCAAAGTTGTAAATATCAAATTTAAAAAATGTAAAAATAATTTTATGATAGTGATTGGGAATGATTTTTCAAAAAAAAAAAAAAAAAGAAGGCCAGAGTCACATTAGGATCCATGGTGGCAATCCACTAATGGCAAGCAGACAATAGATTGAGAGATGTTGCCCACTGATTTTTGGTGCAAGTCTGTGGGTATATTTCTCTGAAATTAGCTATAAAATTATTATTAGTAAGAAAATAAACTTATGGGGGCATTTACATAAATACCAGGCAATTCCAATGTATTTACATATTCAAAACCAAAAAAATATCATTTTAATTTTTTTAAGAAAAAATACATATTTTCATGCATATGTAAAATTGAAGTTTTAAGTATTAATACAATGAAAAAGAGAAGCTATGTATATACATCTTGCTAAAGTTTATTATAATTATGATAGATATTAAACATTTGGGATATTTATATGTATAACACATAATTTTTATGCATTTATATATCTAGGCGCTGAACTTTGATATTTAAATTTGTAACAAATTGATATTGAAAACAAATATATGAAATTGTGCATTTCATTTTTAAGAAGTTGGTGATGATGATTGTTGGCGTCATTTTTATATGCCATTTATTCGTTATCGTATGGCGCGGAAGGGTAAAAGTTGGTGGATTTAAGTTTTGCACCAATTGCCATGGATTTTTGCAAACTCCAAGGCGTCATATGGTGTGACTGTGTGCATATTGGGACGCTTTGGAACGGTTTTTAAGAAGCCTACATTGCGCCACAATGCTACGTCAGTGTAGTGGATTAGTGGGCCCCACTATCAAGTACAGTTATGTGGAGTTTAAGGCACTTTGACCGTATCTTGATCGGGTGTCACGACGCCCCGACGCTCGATCGATTTAATTAATGGTGATTGTTCGTGGCAGATGAGATGGTTGTGTGATTTTGAAGCGATGGGTCCAGCTAAAGTCGGACTACACGTCACTAGTTTCTTTATAATTAGGGTCGAGATGGATGAACGGTTAACCACCAAAGCTTATTCCAATATCCCTTTCCTCCTTCCCTAAACCTTTCTAGACTTCAAATTTTCAGTGGAAAGAAAGGACACCCCAACTGTTAAAGGGCAAGAGGCTGGCATTGGCGTCCGATGACTTTGATGCATTTTGGTTTTACAACACAAAGACCCAAAAAATTTACGAGGATTCCCAATCCTCCTAAAAACTAGTATCGGAGTGTGGTTTCTGCAACCTAAGTGGCTATGTAGCATATACAATTCAATATAAGGAGTAGGGAACTCTTTGTCGTGAAGCCTAACATCACTGTGGTGCTATTCATCAAGAGTATTTGGCAAATGCCAAGGAATTCTCAGGCGACTGAGTTTACAACAGAGGACAATTCATCCCCGTTAATGGTTTTATAATTAGTGATGTTTACGGCCGAACCAGATACACAATTGACAGGTTTCCCTAATATATGGAGGAGGGCTCCAATTTTAACGAGGTCCTGAGTTATTAACGCAACCCCATTATGGGGCTCGCTAGAACGAGCATGAGAAAAAAAATCCTAAATTTTCCCATCAAGAGTCTAACCTGTGAGTCTGAGACTTCATACTCATTCATTTTAGTCAGGAAGTTACTGAGCTCTTACGTGAGCAAGGTGACTCATAATCAGGAGCATTTAATCACGACATTAACAAAGAGTACATGATTGATGTCAGTCATATTATCCAAAGTTCTATTTTATACATGGCTCGGGGTGTTACGACCATCAGGATCGGCCACCTGACATTGATTTACGCATTCTATGTTAAGGTGGGAGTTTCTGTGGATAAAGGGGAGGAGCAAATTTGTCTTAAGCACATTATCATGGTTCATATCATTCGTTCATACAATGTGGCATGATTGATGTCATGTTGGTTGATATGGGTTTGTTCCATATCTGCCACACCATAATGCCACTAATCGACCTCTAAGCGCAATGTTAGATGAAATACCTATCGAGATTTGATGAGAATATTCATCAGTTGGCTGGTCTGGCACTTGTCATGTCAATGTAAGGCTGCCCTAAGGAATAGCCCTTTGGAATCCCAACCGCCCTCTTATTCCTTAAAGGCAAAATCTTGAGCCCAATCTCTCCTTACTCCTATTTCTCCACTTCCAACAATTTCTGCTGCTGGAGGAGCTGCATCTTATGCACCAATGACCGCAGTGAATGTAGGGAGTAAAGTCGTAGCGCTTGAACCAAAGGGACGTCCACAAACTTATCACAAAGATGAAATCTCACTTTCCCCTCAAATTTTCTTTTCTATAGAGCCTTAGGGTGATGTTAAAGGATAGGTTAGATTACTGTTAGAGAAAATCATTAAGTTAAGCTCCCTCTCAACATTTTCTTTTTTTCCTTGAGTGATCAAGTGTGTCTACCCCCTGCATTTTCCCTAGTGTCATGGCGCCCCCCTCCCCCCGTAACGTCACATCACACTCCATTTTTTAAACCAGTGATGTGGAACCGCTATTTAATGTCTCAACTTTGCAAGCCTCCCTGACAACACCGCATCATTGTTTTTATAATGTCATAGCATCATTAAGTCTAGATTAGCTTGGAGCCTAGGCACTGTCTATCAACACCATAATGTTGAGTCAAGAACCTTTTTGTTGAGATCTGTGACATTGTTCCCAAAGCCACGAATCTCAAGCTTCTATGTCTATATGGCCTAGAGCCACAACATTGTTTCTCGGTGTCAGGGCCTTGAACTTTGTTTCTTTTGGCATGGTTTCGAGGTGCCATATGTTGGCTCCCCAAAGCTGCAACGTCACATTGCGGCATCATGGTGCTTAGTTTGACCCGAGAATTCTCATTCTCATAGACACATAGTCATGTATCATTTTCATTATAATGTAACGATTGTGGCTCTATTGGTCATATAATCACGTTTGACACTTTTATCAAATGGTTATAAGCATGAATCCTTATAGATTATGAGCTAAGAGCTTATAACCTATGCATTTGGTTGAAACTCTTTGGGGAGGTGGCGGTCCTCACCCCTTTCGATTAGTTTGATGGGGTGATCTCGACTTTTGTCGAACCGGTGCATGCTCTTACCTTTCTAGGTTACAAGCCTAGGGATTTTTATCCACATATTATTTGTTTCACCACTTCGTAAGGTGGCGGTTTATATTTTCTTGACTTGTCCAGCTGAACTTGTAGCTGGCTCACTTTTTGTCTAAGTCGCTACGAGTTCCCTACATATTTTGTTAAACCCTTTTAAGCCACCAAGTGAGGTGCTAAAATAGATGTTGGATTCTCACCATTAAGTACAATTATTAGGGTGTATTATGTGTAGTGTGTCATCATTGACATCCTTGTCTTGGGTATAAAAATGGTCGGAGTCATGCCGCAGTGGCGACAACCCTTTTTTCTTTTAGATTAGAAGGTCAATACCACATTGTCGTCGATACAACCATGCAATATCGTTCTTTTAAAGCTCGGCCATTACTCTGTGTGTGCATTTTTGTCATGCATCTTGGAACCATATTTTTTGATTGTATGCAAATATGTTGCCTATGACCTAGTATGTTATGTATGACTTCACATTAAGCATCTGTTACATTTTTTACATGTGTTTGATGCATTTTCCACATCTCTACGCCATTCATAGCATGGTGACCCTTATGTATGTGCCTTTAAGGTTTGGTCCTCAAGATGTTTGTCCATGCATGTTATGGGTTCTTACGTACCATGTGGTTCATTTTGTCCAACTGAGCTCATACTCCTTCCCATTTGAGTCTAGATTTGCATAAGTCAACATCTTCAATTAACCCTAGAATAAGCTATAGTCATAATAGGAAAACGAGCATCCCATATTCGATTGACCAAACAGGAGGTGTGCCTATTAATACCAAAACTCATAGGATTGTTCCAAGCATAAGTTTAGGTTAATAGTCATCACTAGTGTGATGGGTTTTAGCTCGTTTAGATACTCATGATGGGGCTAA